GAAAAGTCCAAAAGAGGTTTCCATTTATAAGGATAGTGCTGGTGATTACCTTTAAAGCCCTACATGGCACTGGACCTGGATATCTGAGAGACCGTCTCCTGCTACACACCTCCCAACGTCCGATAAGAACTCAGAGGTTAGGCCTCCTCCGGGTGCCGTCGGCCGGACAATGCTGGCTGGCAACCACTCGGGGGAGAGCCTTTTCTGTAGCTGCTCCGGCTCTGTGGAACGAGCTACCCCCACGGATCTGGACCCTTCCCACTCTCACGGCCTTCCCAAAAGCCACCAAAACCTGGCTGTTCCGGCATGCCTGGGGTTGCTGACTCAAATCAGGTCAATCCCCAATTAAACCGGATGTATGTTGTGTTTTCAAACTGTTTGTATCGATAGATGTCCTCCCCCTGTATGTTATTTTATTTCATTCGTACTTGTAAGCCGCCCTGAGTCCCCCGGGATTGGGCGGCATATAAACCCATTAAATTGCTAATTGCTAATTGCAGATGAAACTGGTAATGGATATAATTTTGAGCTCTGCCATGAAATTCCAATAGGGCCCAAACTGTAGATTCTTGAGTATCCTTGAAGACATCTATTTTTTGGAAATGGGTGAATAAATGAAGATAAATTGCAATTAGGTTTAATTGCATTTAAATTGAATTGAATCACTTGACTGAGGTTTTTCTGGTCAGCAAAAAACTAGACTCCGAGGCAGTAGTTCATTAACTTTATTTAAGGTGAGGCTGCATTCTATCCAAACAATATAGCTTCTTCCCAAATGAACACTCCTTGCTTTCTGCTCTTGCTGAATTTAGTTGCAGCAGAAGACTTGCACAGTTACATCACCTGTGTCAAATGTGACCATGGCTGAACTACTTGGATTTGGCAACAGGCATTCACAATCCAATGCGCTCCAAATGGAACTGTCTTGAAAGAGAGTCCAGAAATGGGGGTTGATGCCAATGGAGCAGATAGGGGGGCTTGCATGATGCCCGTCCAGAAAGATCTGCCCCATTTGCCAATTACTTTCCAGGTACCCCTTAAAGTGCCAACATTGCTTGTTAAAGCCTTCCCTGCTGAGGAACCTGATTATCTGAGGGCATAGCAGGCATATCCCCCGTAATGGTCTGTCTAGCCAGGAAAACCTACAGGAAATGCTGCTTTGAAGATCCAACTCTCCAGAAGCAGCTCTTTCTCAGGGAGAGAATCTTCTGCTGCTGTGCTGTCTGGCAAGTTCCCTTTGCCTCTATCCCAACCCCAGTGTTTAGACATTACAAAAACTCATTTCTTTTGAAGACTTTTGATTTTAGTGTGGTTTTAAAGGTTTTTATTGTTTTAAAATATCAGCTGCCATCTTTTAAACAAGGACACTTACAGAGTATATAATACAAAATAGATCAGAAATTGGCCAGTTTAACCTAGTGATTAAGGCACCGATCAGGCATCAGGAGACTATCAGTTCTAGTCCTTCTTTAGACATGATAGCCAGCTGGGTAACCTTGAGCCAGCCACTCACTCTCAGCCCTAGGAAGGAAGCAATGGCAACCCACTTCTGAAAACTTGCCCAAGAAAACCACCAGAATTACAGAAGCTCAAGCAGTAGCCAGGAATCAACAGTGACTTGAAGGCACCAAAAATAACAAAACAGAATTTGACCTCATTCAGAGAAACTGAGTCACATTTGGCAACTGACCAGCAGCTACCTATATATAGAACGGGATCAAGCAAAGCCAGACATTTAATTAAAAGGGGGTTTCATCCTCAGCACAGCAAAATACCAGCCTTGTTTTCAATCCTCCCTCTGCCAGGAGTCAGAAAATCAGGAGTTGTGAAGACTAAAGAAACAAATGAATCAGAGGCCATTTGCCAAGTCTCAAGGTAACCTCTCCAACAGGCAAGACCAGCTGATAAAAAGCTTCATTTGCATAAAGGGGCACCTTGGCCAGGTGCGTCCGCGGAAAAGAGGGGAGCCCCTCCACGGAACCGAGCCCCTGCCTTCTTCTGACATCCCTGCCACTCGCTACAAAGAATAATCGAGCTTTGTTCAGTTTTCGCTCTTTTAAGGCCTGGGGATACTGGACCGATTTCTTGAAAAACCTCGGGTACTTTCAAGCGGGTGGACTTCAACTCCCAGGATTCTTCAGCCGGCTATCCTGACGTTATGCTGGCAAGAGGATTCTGGGAGTTGAAGTCCAAGGCGAACGGATCTCGCCAAGGTTGAACTTCCCAACATCCCGCGTACGGACCACCCGAGCCGGGAAGGAAGCGAGGCCGCCGCTCCGCTCCGGCATGTCCCTCAGGTGCCTGCCGGTCCTCACGGGGAGGTCGAAAGGCAGGGCCCCGTCCGGAGCCGGAGGGGGGGTGTCTAGCGAGTCCCCCACCGGACGAGAACCCGCCGCCACACGCGGCCTGGCTCTCTGAGGGCCAAGCGTGGGTCTTCCCGGGGCCAGGCGGGCGAGATCAGCCCCTCTGGCGACATGACGCGCCCTCGGAGGTGCCCGAGACGCCGGTTCCGTTTTTCCCACCCCAAGGCCGGCTTCTCACGACCGGCGCCCGGAGCTCCGCGGGGAGCGGGGCTTCCTCACGCCGAGCCCTCCGCCCCGAGCAGCCCCCGATACCTGCTGCCGCCCACCCGCTGGGCCGCCCTCGCCACCGCCGCCGCCATCTTGCCGCTGCTGAGGAGCCCGCGTTCTCCCGCGCCGCCACCGACCACGACGACAGTGCGAGCCTCAGGGTGGCCGCGCTCCGTCCTCCTCCTCCTCCTCCTCCTCACGCCCGCCCCGTGAGGTAGGCCGCTCCGAAGAGGGCCGCCGCGGCTGGAGCCACGCCTCTCTCCGCCGGATCACAACGCCCACCTTCTTCAGCCTGGGGGGCTGCGCTGTGGAAGTGGCCCGTTCCTGCCCGTCGCTATAAAGCGAGAGAGAGAGAGTTATATTTTATATGGTTATGGCTATACACACGCACATACACACACTTATGACATACAATTGTTTATGACATCGTTATAACTATCTAATATATACGTGAGGACCTCTGCGGATCGATAACCATATCAATTAGGATTTTTTCATAATTTGACTTAGACTTAGAATAACTTTATTGTCACTTTGAATGTACACTAATCAGCGTACATTAAAGTGAAATTTCATTGCGTAAAGCTCTTAAAGGGTCTCCGCCTCCAATATATACACTACATAAGCATGACTAAATAAATAAATACCAAATTATGCATATACCCCACACATAGCACTAAAAAGAAAAAAAACACTGAATATATTTTAGTGTTTTTTCATAAGAGATTCACCTGCAAATGGGATGCTGGTGGAACCCAATTTATTTGTTACTTATTATTTTATGCACGTATATCCCATCTTTATTGTTTTTATAAATTACTCAAAGACTTCAGGGCTTGCTGCTGTAGGAAAGAAAAAAAGGAAGATCTCTTTGTTGGCCAGAGAAGCCGTGGCCACCACTGGAGAAGATGACCTGATTGAGTGCCTCTGCAGGCCCTGGGTGGCCAAAATCTTGGTGGTGGCCATTTGGGCAGAGACCTATTGCCTGTGGTGGTCTAGAGTTGGGGTGGACACTTGGAGCTGTTCAGGGAGATCTTGAAGCGGTAGAGAGCTTTTGTCTTTTAGGGTCCACCATCATCAGACAAATAACCAAGGGTCAAAAGATGCCATAAAGCAGTTATGAAAGTCTTGGAAAAGATATTCAAATGTTCAGATGCCTCTACCTACAGAATCCCAGATGCTGAGGTATTCCCTGTGACACCATGTAAAAGTGAAAGATGGACTTTGAATAAGCAAGAAGAATAGAATATTGAACCTTTTCATGTTCGAGAAGACTCCTGAGAATACAACAGACAAGAAAACAAATGGACGGATCATCATACAAAATGGATCCAGTGTTTTCCCTCAAAGAACAAATGACTAGATCCCTTATGTGAAGACCCAGCTCTCTGGAAAAGATCTGATGCTGGGAAAGGTGAAAAAGCAATAGCAGTAGACTTATATACCGCTTCATAGGCCTTTCAGGCCTCTCTAAGCGGTTTACAGAGAGTCAGCATATTGCCCCCAACAATCTGGGTCCTCATTTTTACCCACCTCGGAAGGATGGAAGGCTGAGTCAACCCTGAGCCGGTGAGATTTGAACCGCTGACCTGCTGATCTAGCAGTAGCCTGCAGTGCTGCTTTTAACCACTGCGCCACAGTGGAAGAAGACAACAACCGGTAGCAAGGAGGATGGGCTTGGTGGTTACAGTGGCCATGAGGTCACCTAGGTTCTCCTGGTGAAAATCTAACTCTGGTTGCTAAAGAGTTGATAACAATTTGATGACTCATAATAAACAATGTTGATATGGTAATAAGTAGAAGATACAGATCTACACATCATAGTTGAAAAAGATGCTATTGGATTCCTGATTTTTCACTACTGTGAATGTCTTCTACAATGTCTTTGTCAAAATGTTGATGTGTGTGATGTCTCAGCAGGCTACTATAAATCTAATCCTGGGCAGTGTCTTCTTTTAAATGTAGCACATGCTTTTTAAGTACTCCAGAAGAGTTGGAAAAGCTAAGCAAAAGATTTCTAATCCTTTATTTTGCCTGGCTGAGGTTTTGCATTGTAAAGGATTGGCCTCCTTTCCTGCCCATCCCATCGCTTTCACTTCCAGCCTACATGGCTTCTGCACCACACATTTTCTGTCTCCCCCCTCCCCTTCCAAATTCCTGTCACTGCTTTGGAATCTTTGGAATGAGGAAAGGGGAAGACGATTTGTGCCTCTGCCGTCATGAAGTTGTTTCTTGTGGCTGTTTTCCTTGTCTTATCTGTTGTTGCTCATCTGACCTCAGGTAGGGGTGATAGAAGGGCATTTTCCTTTTGCTCTCCTTGGTCATACCATCTAATTTTTGAACATTAGACCCATCTCCAACCCTGAAGCTCTGTCGAGGGGATCTCATGGAGTGAGCAAAATCCAGCCCAGATGTTGTGGGTGCTCCATCACTGGAGGCTTTTAAGAAGAGACTGGACAGCCATTTGTCTGAAATGATATGGAGTCTCTTGCTAGGTGAAGGGTTGGACTGAAGGACCTCCAGGATCCCTTCCATTATTCTGCTATTCTTTCTGTAATCACATGTATCCTATCAAGTCCAAAGAAAATCAGGAATGGTATAGAATCTCCTTCAGGGGAGGGTTTCAATTTTTTTTAGAACCTATTCTATGGGTGTGGCCTATTTTGTGGGTGTGGTTTGGCAGTCATGTGACCGGGCAGGTATGGCCAACTTGACATCACTCATGCACACTCAGTCACATGACCACCACCCCCAAGCCATGTGGCAAAAAAAATTGGGACTCCTATGAAGTTGCGGGGGGGGGGGGAGGGAGGGGGAAACCTCCCAAAAATAGACAACTGGAGGATTAAGGGCTGAAATTAGGAAGATCGGAGAAGGCAGGATGGAAGAATCCAGTAGAAAGCTATCACATGCTGGGGAAAGAACTTTGGGAGAACGGAAGAGGCATGACAGAGTGGAATCCAGTAGAAAGCTATCACATGCTGGGGAAAGAACTTTGGGAGAACGGAAGAGGCATGACAGNCCTTACAATTTATATTGATTGTTTCCTAGTATGATTTGATTGCTTATTTGTATCCTATGACTGTCATTAAGTGTCGTACCTTATGATTCTTGATGAATGTATTTTTTAAATTTTAATTTAATTTAATTTAATTAACCACATTTATATGCTGCCCAACCCCGAAGGACTTTTTAATGTACACCGAGAGCCTATCCACCAAAGACAAATTCCTTGTGTGTCCAATCACACTTGGCCAATAAAGAATCCCATTCTATTGAAGTCCGTGCATCTTAAAGTGGTTCAGGTTGAAGAGAGCACCGAAGGTGGAAGAAGCTTTTCTACTTTAATCCGAAGTAAAACATTTATCAGCCACCCGACTATTGTATGAATATACCTGGAGAAAGAATGCTTCCACCATCCCTAGGGAATTGGTCCTACGGTTGAAGTTTTATAACAAGCAGAATCTCTCGTTATAACTTAAGGACGTACAATCACTTTCTCCGAGGCTGTTGTAACTTTGAACCATCATTCGATGAATGCTTGTTTAAGTCAAAGATTCCTACCTGTAATGCAGTTTCGGCTTTGACCAAGAGACATTTTGGAGTCAAAGGTTAAATAGCAAGTGAATTGATTCTTAGCATTGTGGTCAACCTAGAACAGTGATGGCAAACAGTTTTGGTACTGAGGGCCAAAAAGGGAGCGTGTGCGCAGCACCAAGTACCAAAAGGGAGCACGTCGGGTGTGTGTGCATGGTTCACACTCATTTGGGCCACGCCCAGGAAGAGAAGTTGCCCAGGGGGCATGCATGCACCAGGAAATGTACTTCTACTTTCCGGCAAGTCTTCCAGTTACCAATCAACTGGCCGGCATGCCTGCTCACACCAGAAAAGAGAAGACCAGGTCTTCCAGTTTCTGGCACTGCCACACACCCAAAGGCCAGCTGATTGTTGTGTGCTCATGCGTGCCAGAAACCCAGAAGAGGAACGGGTGCTGCCAGGCAATATGGCTGCATGTGCCACATCACGGACCTGGACTAAAGTGGAACCTGTGTCTGGAAACTTCAACAAGATTGAAAGCAGACTGGCACCCAAGTGGTTCAGTTTCATTTTCGAATCTTCACTTCACCCCACCTTACCCTCTGACGAAGCACGGAACTACTTCATCCTCCTGTATCTGGTTGAACCAGGAAGAACATACGCCATGGTGTATTGGGCCTTCGCCATCTAGGAAAAGATGCAAACGGTGTTAGATCATATTTGGTGAGATTCCAAAAGCATGCACGCACGCACGCACGCACGCACNCCTTAAGAGCATCAGGTTGGAGGAAGTATGACTGAAAAAGGAATGTCACTTAAGCAGGTCTCAAGTTATAGGCCTCTTCAGAATTAAGAAGAGAAATTATTCTTGCATCCATATAAGCAATTACATCAGCTAATTTGTTATCAAAAACTTCTCCACAATTTCTCAAAAGTCTCAGCCGCCTTTCATTCAATTGCTGCAGGCTAGGCTGGAAACATTACGGTTAGAATCCCATCCTACAAATAATACACTGAAAAACACTGTAAGGATTTAAATGTAGTTGAATTCAAGAATGTGTACTCTTCCCATCAATAAATAGTGTGAGAGAAAAGTGGCATTTTTTAAAAATCCTTCTCCCATTTGCATTTTCCAAAAAAGAATTGTTGTTTTTTTTAGTTTTGGTTATCTGACCCCAGAAAACAAATCAGTACACCTTTTTAAAACTTGGAGGGGAAAACTTTATGAGGAAGTAGATATTTACCAAAAATTGGGACTAACCATGTTGTGTGGGTGAGGGGGACAATATGTGTTTATTTGCAATAGATAAGATTCTCTTTTCTTACAGATCAGAGTTGAATCCAAGTAGATCTTAATAAGCACAAAGCAGCCTTCAACATGATCAACAGAACGTTAAGAGCAAGCAGGTTGACCAAGGATATTCATATGCTACTGTATAAAGTACACAGGCCAGATACAAAATTAAAAAGTCTAAATGCTTATTCAACTGTGTTTAATGTCTGTTTAGAAAGAAAAGGTTGTCAGGAAATAGGTATTTACCCAAAAATCCATCTGCCCATATTATGGTTTATTGTACGTTTATTGTATGTCCAATATATTTACTCTGGTTCCTTTTTCTTCCAGGTCAGAGTTTAATCCAAACAGATCTGAATAAAACACAGGCAGTTTACTTCTAGTGTCATTGCATCCTGATAAATGAACAATCCCAGATTTTGTTTCTCAAGCTTTTGTAGNAATATGAGCATGATAGTGTAGAATAATCATATCCAAGGACCAGTGATGGGTTTCAAAAATTTTGGAACCTCTTCTGTAGGTGTGGCCTGCTTTCCGGGTCCACTGGTGGAACCTCTTCTAACCGGTTCGGTAGATTAGGTTCTACCGAATAGGTGCGAACTGGTAGGAACCCACCTCTGTTGCAGAAGCTGAAGTTTTGTTATGACTTTCATTTCTTAAAACATAGGCACAAATATCTAATCATGGCTTTGGAAAGTGCTATCTGGGACAAAAAAAAAATTGCCTTGATATTGTGCTGGATCAAAGTCTAACTTCATTCCAAACGATGTCATATCAACAAAACTCCTTTGGCATCACCAGCTGAAGAACCAATTTAAATTTAGAATGTCTTATTTAGGAGGAATGGAGTTCTGCAAAAGAAATGGTGAGCTGATGATCCCACTAGAGTGAAGAGCCACTGAGAAGACTGGCTCTTTGATATAATTTCTCTCCAGACAAGTAGAGGACTTGAGTTCACCCATAAGTACTTTAGACAGCTGGTCCTCATGAGGAGATCACGAGACAGTGATCTCCAATGGCTTTAGATGGGTGAAGAGGGTATAACCATCTTTTGCTCAAATCGCAGCTGCCAACTTTGGAAGGACATTTAGCATACTTTCTTTTCTAATCATTTTTGGAAATTGCATGTTAATTGTTTTTCAACTATTAAGAACTTTTGGGCTGACTTTTGACACACTGGGTGAGTTTTCTTTAATCCTTAGTAAAAGGAATATTAATATTCATTTTTTGGGGGGGAAAGGGAGAGAATAAATAGCAAAAAGGTGAAAACTAATTTTAGAAAGTTACAAATTAACTTAAGGTCTAGATCAATTTGAAATAAGATTTTTGCATTAATAATTAAAAAAAACCTATCCATCAGAAAATGCTTTTGTTCTGAATTTAAAAAAAAATCTTTAAAAGCCAAGAGTTTAAAAATTGGCTACTATAGGGAACTATAGGAAATTAAAGAATATAACTAAAGGAGAAGAACACTCAATCTTAACTTACAATTACAGAATGAAGCAAAATATTTAAGGATATTTTTGAACAATGGTCCCAAGGGTTAATTTTAAGAGTTTCTGCATCGATAGATAGACTGTGTCTAAATGATTTTATGAAAATGAAACATTTTACCTGACAGTATTAAGACTGATTTCAAAGTCAATTTAAATATACTAGGTTACAAAAATGACATGGAATAAAGAATTTACACTGGGCATAGAAAAGAAAGCAATTAATGTTTTAATACTGTAATTAAAAAGGATATAATAAATAATAAATTGAGACTGAGTTGGATAATTTTCCTATGTTGGATTTACCAAAGAATCTTGTTAAAGTTTTGAAGAGTTTTGTGAGAAAGAGCAAAGAAAAACAAAGAAAATAAATCGAGCTCTAAGAAAGGCTAAATAGTAAGATTGTTAAAAGAAAAAACAATGAATATACAGTTAGTTTATTTGATCAACATTAAAATATATATGTTGTTGTCTTTGGTAATACTGCTGATCAGGTTTTAAGGATTTGTTTGTAGATAAAAGGTAGGATATGAGAAGAAGAGTTTAAAAAGCAATAAATTACTAAAATTGTACATGCTTGTGATGAAAGTGGAAATCACTTTTTTATTTCTTTTCTTAGTTTTCTTTCTTTTCTACTTCACTTTCTATTTTTTCTTTCTTTTCTGCATCTTTTTTCATTTCTATTCTTTTAATTTGTATTAATTTTTACTATTGTAAATTGTAACATTTAATCAAATTGCTGGTAAAAATAAAATGTCTTATTTAGCTTTAACTAAATCTGGGAGAGAGCTCTCTCTTGGCTAAAGATCAGAATTATTCCCTAGACTGAGTTTTTCCTCTCTCCAGTTATTTGGATAAATGGAATTATTCCCCTGACTCAATTTACATTTCTAGTCCAATAACCTCTCTTCTTCACATACCTGATTTTAAGAATGTCAAACCAAAGAATTTCCAGAAAAATATTTTTTCCCATAACATATCAAATTCTCAGATTTCTAGCTATGAGGGCCTTTACTCAAAACATTTCTTTCAAGATTTTTATTTATACACAAGAGGATTGATCTTTAGGTAAGCCTATAGAAAATATATTTGCACTTTACTAAGAAGAAAGCTGAGGTTGTCAAGAGGCATATAGAGAACTTATTCTAACTTCTTGCCACAATTTAGATCTTTTAAAACAAAACTCTTTAAATTCAGGCAGTCTGGAAAATGCTCTATTGAACAACTGGAAAAAAAATGTGCTAATTAGTCAGGCATTAAGTTCATATCAATTTTCCAGAGGGTTTTTTCTAAGAAATCTGCAAGTTCTAGAATTTCTCACTTTGGCTAAGAACAGATGTTTTTTGGGTGCAGTATGTGCTGAATATATTTGCTTGAAATGAGCGGAAAACAGAGGTGGGTTCCTACCAGTTCGCACCTATTCGGTAGAAGCGGTTCGTCAAATCTACCGAACCGGTTAGAAGAGGTTCCACCAGTGGACCCGGAAAGCAGGCCACACCTACAGAAGAGGTTCCAAAATGTTTTGAAACCCACCACTGGTCCTTGGATATGATTATTCTACACTATCATGCTCATATTTATAAAGCTCAATGCCTCTGTGAAAGGTAAGGATGACTACTGCGTTTGTGGTGCAATCAGAACATTGCGTGTGTTGAAGTTGTTTTAACGCAAACCAAAGATGCCTTTTAAAAAACAAGTTGACATCATATTCTTATGCATGCCAGTGCTGTGTGTGAGGTAATTTAAAGTGGTTCTGACAAGTGTCATCGGCATCTTCATATCTGGTCACATGGGCGGCAAGCCACTCCCATCCGGTCACATGGGCGGCAAGCCACTCCCACAAAGGAGGCCACACCCATAGAGTAGGTTCGAACAATTTTTGAAACCCACCACTGGCAGGAAAGTATTTTATACAAAGGTAACTTTGTTTAATTCAACTTCCTTCAACTAGGGTAAACACTAAGTATACTAATTTGGCTCTCGCTCTCTCTTCAACTTGCTTACTGTGATCTTTATCAAAATTGTTCCTTGGATTCTAGTACTAGCTATATTGCCTTCTTCAAGCATCAAACTCACGTTTAAGTTTGTTCAAACCTATTCATTGCATAAATGGGCTTCTGGTCAACAATATGACTTGATAGAACCCATGGTGCCATTACTCCAAATTTGCTCTAGATTTTGGTGGTGTAATAGGAAATTATTTCATTTGGGGTTCCACTAGTCAGCAGATAAAGAGTACTAAATTCTACCCACTGTGTATATTTTTGTGTAGTATCAAAAGAACAACCTCAGATCTTTCCTTCTCTAAATTTCTTTTCCTGAACTGTTAATTCCTACTCTAAAACAGATGCAGGTCTTATCTTTTTATATCAGCAACAAAGGAAGTTTAGCTTTGTTAAAGCAGGGTCCACATGTCATGTTAAGCCATAATGTTTGATTAATTGGCTTTGATTTAATGTGTGACATAAACGCAGTAATTGTGGTCCATAAATTGTAGAGCGCTGTGTGAAAACAACTGATTTTTATTCCACAAGCCATACTTAAGCAGATCATGATTCAGTGGAATGTGTGACTCAAATAGTTTGAGAATAAAAGAACTTACAGTCAATCATTATACAACTTTATTTCAATAGTAAGAAGGCTCACCCTTAAAATTCAGACCTACATTCACATTGGGATTACCATAGACATCAGTGCTGGCCAGAGATGGGTTCCTACCAGTTTGCACCAGTTCGGTAGAACCGGTTCGTCAAATCTACTGAACTGGTTAGAAAAGGTTCCACCAGTGGACCTGGAAAGCAAGCCACACCTACAGAAGAGGTTCCAATTTTTTTTGAAACCCACCACTCACACACACACACACACACACACACACAGACTCACACAGAGAGAGAAAGAGAAAGAGAAAGGAAGGAAGGAAGGAAGGAAGGAAGAAAGAAAGAAAAAGTGAGAGTGATGAAAGAAAAAAAAAAGGAAAAGGGGACAGAGAGACAAAAGGAAGGAAAGAGAGAGAGAGAGAGAGAAAGAGAACATATGGCTGGCAAGCCACTCCCACCAGGTCACATGGCCGGCAAGCCACTCCCACACAGGAGGCCACACCCACAGAGTAGGTTCGAAACATTTTTGAAACCCACCACTGGTGCTGGCTGACCTCATCTCCTCCCCCTTCCCCTCCACTCCCCTCCTTTCCTTTCCTCTCCCCTTCACTCCCTTCCCTTCTCCTCCCCTCTCCTCATCTCCCCTTCTCTCTCCTCTTCTTCTTTCCCCTCCCCTCCCTTCTTCTCCCTTCTCTTCTCCTTCTCTCCTTTTCCACATCCCCTCCTCTTCCCTTCTCCCCTCCCCTCTATCTAGTTTGAGTAGTAGCGATAGCACTTACAAGGTCTTTTCCTGCCTCCTTCTTTCTCTTCTTTTTGGCATTAGGGCACCTCCAAATTCAGCTTCATATACATTTGGACATTGAGACTTCCCTTACGGTTCGTTAATGATAAGTCCAATTTGTTGGGCTACTTTTCCCTACTGTGATGATGAGATTCCCCTTTACACAAAACCTTACAGCAGAGCCGGAGAAATGTTTGACTTGGCATCATGGAAAGCAATCAGACACTACAGGTGAAGGCCTTGGTGCACATCCCATACAGATGCGAAGTTTGAAAGTGACAAGAGCCTTCAGGGTGCAAGCAGATCTAAGAAATACAGTCTTTCAAAGAATATTTGGGGGTTAGTTAATATTTTAGGTGATTGTAATGGAGAACCTAACAACCAAAAGGCACTGCCTAATTGTTGTAGTCTTTTCTTGTGAGGCCTCAAAAACTTAAGGGGAGATATATATTTTTTGTACTGTTTGAAACAGAAGATAACATGCATACTTCTGATCCTGTCCCCTCAAGTCATTGTCAACCAGTGGGGGGATTCAGCCAGTTCGCACCTATTCGGGAGAACTGGTTGGTAACTTTCTAAGCAGTTCGGAGAACCAATTTTTGGA